ACAATATAGTTTATAAGTTCAACACACACTAAAGACCTACAAATCCAATAGAAGACAACTCAAAGCAATGAGACACTAATACATAATAGAACATCCATAGCAATAAGACAACTCATAAGTTCAACACATAACACTAACACATCTAGAGTTTTTCACCACTCATTCTCTGTATACAACGAGTAATTGAGCCATCTCCTACAAAAAAAAATACGGTTTACATAATTAGCAAACCAAAATTTCATGTTTGATAAAATTATATCATAGACTTACAAGTACGTCTACAAATTTTAAGCTAGCAACATAGACAAACAAAAAATTTGATAACTTCCTAATTATAACAGATTATCTTCTGAAAATCATTCAAGACACTTATGATTAACTAACACACACTTTCATAAAAAAAAAGTTTTGAAAAAACTTAATGAATAATACACAAATCCACTTTTGATAGATTTTACAAGGTAGACTACATATTCAGTCTACAGACGAGTAGACGTTTTATTCAGTTTACATTTTGTAGATTGCAAATTAGGTCTACGTTTAGGTTAGTTTTTGCAATTGCCAAATTCATGGGTTACTTTCTGTATTTGAAAAAAAGATGTGATTTTATATGAGTAGACTTACTTTTTAGTCTACATTTTTTAAAAATGTTAGTTTTGCAATTGACCAGAATTCGTTCAGAGTTTGACTTTTAGAAGTAGACTTTCTGCAGTCTACATTTTTAAATTTGTTTGAAAGAGGTTAGTTTTGCAATTGACCAAAGTTGACTTTCTACTAGTAGACAAAACTAAATGTCTACGTAACTGTAGACTGCAGTAAAAGTCTACATTATAACCCGACAAGTTAGTTTTGCAATTGACCAACATAAAATAGTAGACTTCATATACAGTCTACTTTTTTTCCTAAGTTTTGTAGACTGCATATGAAGTCTACACGTAAAGTAAGTTTTAGTCAGCTTCTAAATATTTTAGTCAAATACAAAAGAAACCTATTCAACGAAGTCAAAGTTTTGGTCAAATGCAAAACTGACATTCCGTAGACTTACCTAGTAGTCTACAAAAGTGTAGACTTCCAAGAAAGTCTACAATGGTAAGTCAAAATTTTGGTCAAATGCAAATCTAACCTCTTTTATGTAGATTTCTTAGTAAGTCTACCAATTTTTTTGTTTTTGGTTTCAAAGGTAAAGACGTTGATGTACTTGTAGGTCTACATTACAAAAAAAATTATTTTGGTCAATTGCAAAAGTAACCTGTGCGTTGACAAGTAAACTGCATCGTAAGTCTATCAGATTTAATAATAATGACAATTTGGTAAATAGGTAGAAACATGAGAAGAGTTTAGGTTTTTTAAGAGTGAATAGTAATGACAAAAAAAAATAGGTTGGTTTTGTGTTTGACTTGAATTTTTGGGTTGGTTTTGCAAAACCCCCTATATTTAAATTATGGATAACAAAAATTTTCAATGTGAAAAATTTAATACGTTTATAATTTATAAATGTTCTTGAAAATTCATTGAAATTTTTGAAATTAAAATAAGTATGTAATCTTATATGGTATATAGTTTAATCTATATTTTTTTTTTATTATTGAATGATACTTTTTACTCATATGGTTTTAAAATCATGTGTATCTTTTTATAATAAAAATGTTAAACTATTAATCATTAATTTTTAACATAATAATTTTAATAGTTATAGTCATTTATTCTTGGTTTTTTTAAATTCAAAATATAACATATACGAAAAAATCTAAAGTTTAATTTTATAGTTAATTTGATTGTTTGATTTATTTTAATAATAGAAAATTAAAGAAAAATGATGGAGGAGATACAAATTGTTATCAAATATTTATTATTAGAAACATTAATTGTTATATATATATATATATATATTTGTCATTTATGGTAATTCCGTAGCTTTTATTTAAGGAAAGAAAATAAAATAGTAATTATATCTAGCAGGACAATCATAAATGCTTTTATCATAAATATCATATCATATAGTTTGACCAACAAATATATCTAGCGACATAAAAATCGAATGTGAACCTACTTATTTTTCAATTGAATGTAATTGACTACCTAATTGAGTGACACGTAAACATCAGCTATTTTTTAATTATTACAAAATTGAAATTACAATTTGAATCAAATGTTTCTCAATTAGTATATAAGGAATTAGTAATATAATGTACATCAAAAACTATATATATCATCTTGACCCGCAAAGGCGATAGTGACTGAAATCCATTATTGTCTTGAACATAAAATACTGAAAATATTGTATTTGAATGTGAACATTAATTATATCATTTTCATTTATAATTATGAGCTGTTCATTACAAATGGCTAGCCATAGATAGTTAAATACCAATGATTCTTTTCTTTTTGGTTCTATTTTTTTTAAAAAAAAGATCGTTACGCGAACATATGCAATAAAACTCGTGATTATCGCCGACGCTTGATTTTGAACCTTTTCTCCTTACCGAAGATTCTTTCAAAAACTTATCGACAACAAGAGGTTTTGCACTTGAAATAGTGTCTAAACCTATAAACGATTGGATTTAGTTAGAAATGGAAAATTGTAAAGTCATATTTGTTGAAATCTGTGTTCTAGTAATAAAAGAAAATGAACATCTCTAATGTATTATTCATTTTTAATTGAAAAATTGAGTAATTTCATTATGGAATTATTTTTTTTTTTGAAATGAAAAAAAAATCATTATTGTATTCTCATTTTCACCTAATGAAGAAGAAAATGCAGTAGCATTATAGCTATCTCATCTTTCTTACTCCAAATTCTATTTTGGAATGAAAATTGAAATTTGACATAAGAAATGAAGTGGGTTGAAAATACTTTTATACAGACGTTTAAGGGCTACACATTTGTAATTATCTTTGTTTTTGAAATCGCCTAGAAATAATAAAATAATACAATATAAAGTTTTATTCCTTCTAAATTATAATAACTTTAAATTTATGATAATCATTGACCAAATTTTTTTTCAAAGATAATCAAATAATATACTTTATTATTTCTAAATGACAAACTCCACGTTTTATTTTATAGATTCAAACAAGTCAGCAGCTTTGGGAGCTAAGGATACCGGAATATATCATACAATAAGTATATTGTTTTCATTTTGTAAACTGTTAGACGCCTATATAATAACATTGAATATTCGAATCTCCCATACTCATCTACAAAAAGTCGACCAACCTTTTGATGAAATTGGAGATTCATTTTATTCAATCATGGAAAGAGGCATATAAATAAACCATGCAAGAGTCAGAGTGATATAATGCTTAGAACACAGTTTAATTTTTTAAGAAAATTGTTTCCTGCATATTCGTCTACTAGTCTACCAAATTTTAATTAAATCGGATGTTCATTTTTATTCAGTAATGGAACAAACGCATCTAATAAATCATGCAAGAGTTGAATGATATAAAGGCTTAGGAAAGCAACACAGCGATTAATGTCCAATAATGCAACAAAATAACGACACTCGGAACAAATAAGTAGTAAATAACAAACAGATAAAAGAGTAGCGACTTGTATAATAAAAGGCTCAGCAACGCAACAAAGAACTGTAAATCAAACACGAAAGACCATCTGTTAAACAGATCAAGCGAACATTGCAACAGTAAAAACCACACTTAATACTGTGGTCATAACCGAAGTAACGGCCACACCACTTGCTGCGCTTTTGGGACTTGCCGCAGGCGCACTGATGTTATCGGCCGGAGGTGATTGAGAAGGAGTTGGAGACGACGGTGGAGTATTCTCAGGCGCTGGAGTGGTTGGAGAAACAGGGGAGTTAGCTTTGGGAGGTTGGACTTTTGCCGGAGCCTTCGCTGGTGAAGTTTGAGAAACAGGGGAATGAGCTTTTGGGTTGGCCGCTGATGGAGCTGGAGAAACAGGGGAGTGTGAGTTTGGAGGTTGGGTCGTTGACGGAGCTTTCGCCGGTGGTGAAACAGGGGAATGAGCTTTAGGAGGTTGAGATGTTGATGGAGCTTTCGCCGGAGCAACGGGAGAAACAGGTGTGTGTGCTTTTGGAGGTTGAGCAGTTGATGGAGCTTTGGCCGGAGCAACGGGAGAAACGGGTGTATGTGCTTTTGGAGGTTGAACAGTTGACGGAGCTTTGGCCGGTGCAACAGGAGAAACAGGGGAATGAGCTTTAGGAGGTTGAGTTGTAGAAGGAGGTTTCGCCGGAGAAATAGGATGTCTGATGGCGAGGACAACGACGATCAACCTCTGTTCCTTCAGACAGTGATCTTTATTACCACTGATGAAATAGAAAGGACCAGATCGGTCAAGAGTAATCTCAGTCTCTCCGTTATCAAACTTCTTTAGTGGACTCCCAACGTTACAACTGTGGTAATCTGCTTTCGTCACTTGCAGCACTGATTCCGATCCCTTGGCATACTTAAAGTCTTCAAAACATTCAAACTTTTTTGTCAGTTGCAAAGATATAAAAAGCAAAACCACAACAGAAATAAATAACCTTTAAACAATATAAAGGAGCTTACAGAGGGTGTCATTGACTTCGAAACGGTTTCTTTCAGCCCAAGTGTTGTAACTCTCGCGTGGACTCATGACCCAACCGGTGCTACCTCCGACGTAAAACCGACGTGCATCAGCGACGGAGAAGAGGGTCGCAAAAGAAGCAAGGATGATAAGAGATAGACTTTTCATGAGGGCCACCATGGTTTTCGAGAAGCGGCTAGATGGGAGATCTGAGAATAGGGTCTTGTGTGTTTGTTTTGTGATTTGTGGAGAAGAAAAAAGTTATGCAGTGATTATATAGAACCTTAGGGGGACTTTAAGGAGAATGAACACAATTTGTGAATCTTACAGAAATGGAAAAAAAATATTGTGACAGGATACTTCTTGCTTTCTTTCTTTTATTAAAGAGAATAATCTGGCAATGTAATTAGGATTTTGAACGTTGTGAAGAAAACTTTAAGGCATTTATGTAGACGTGTGAGAATTTATTAACCCATTTACAAATTACATATTTACATCTGAATGAATTTTAAGCTTTTACCAACTTTTATTATTTTCTTCTAATTAAGGATATCCCTGCTGATGTACAAACGGATAATTGTTATTGGATTAATCCAATACAGTCCAATCCAATACTAGATTAAATTGATATAAACGGAATAATGGATGAAATGGATTAATAACTTGGATCAAAATTGTTTGAATTGGAATGAACATTGACTTCTACCAACTTTTATTATTTACTTCTGATGATATCCTTACGGATGTCAAAACAGATAAGAGTTAACGGAGCAATCCAACACCATCTAAACAATGGATCTCAGGGGTTAATCGGTGGACACTTTAGAAGTTAATTAGTTTGATTTTATCTTAATTTTAAAATAATACAATATAAATGATTCATATACCTTTTTAAATATAAAAAAGGGTTAAACGAGATCTATTAAAGACACATACGTATCTCCAGGTATAGCCCAAGGCTAGACTCTCTTCTGGGAATTCAAATTGATCGAAAGCAATAATCCATATATATGTGGCCACAAAATAAAATGTAATAGAGTACCTTCGAACCCAGGTTGTCCCAAAGCTCGTCTTCCATTACGCCACCATGTTGTGGTTAATTTTATATACATTGTCTATGAGATTGTATTCAAAGTTTGATTTATTATTTTTTTCTATTTAAAAAAATAAAAGTATACAGTTTAAATAACTAATATTTAGATCCATTTGTTTGTGCTGTCATGAAATTAATTTATATTGTAACTATAGATTCAATAGAAGATCAGTTTAAAGAATAAAATCAATTTAATCTAGTTACAATATAAATTAATTTCATGACTATGATATTTTATTAGTTCATATTTATTTATTTATTTATTTTTTTGTTGTTTCTGAAACTATACTCTAATGTCAATATTTTTTTTTAAAAAAATTACTTATTATTTTGGTGAACGTTTCAGGTTTCTATGTTTTCATATTTTTTATTAATATTATTCTTTTTAATATTTCTTTTATAAACTCGTTGTTAGACAATTTAATTTTCATATGCTATGTTGATTAATTTAATAAAGTTTCATCAGTATGAATCTTATCACTTTTATTAGTGAATTACATTTAACTTCTATGAAGAATCACTATGTAAACACACTAAAAAAAAATCACTATGTACACTTGATCTTATTTTTATTGACTTTATTTTATAAAACTCTTTTAGATTAGAAAAATCTTGGTTCGATTCATGAAAACCAATTTGATTAGTTTAACTAATATTTGGATTATAATTTTCCTCAAAATTTTGTGTCAAAGCATATAATTAAACTACGATATTACATTGATATATTTTATATTTCAAATTATATGTGAATATTTTAATACCATCCAGCCCTTGCCATAAAAAACGGTTGTGATCATAATTTTTTATTTTTCTTGTTAAACTTTTTATGTTAAATTTTCAGTCTAAGTATAAATATCACCTAACGTTTGAGATAATTTTGACTTTACTTGATGGGGTTTTTGCAAAATTGACTCAAAATTCAAAGTCAAATACAAAATTAACTTCTTCTTTTGACTTATCTTGTTTTTTTTTTCTATTCACCCACATCTTCATTTTATTTACGAAAATGCCATTAAATTTTTTTTTGTAATTTTTTTTCCAAAATGGTTTTTTACTCTCTCAACCTCATCATCTTCAAATATTTACATTGCCATTGCCATGAATACTCCCAACAACCTTGTACAACTCAACCTTGTACAACCAAGGTTTGAAGCTTTTAATGCACTTAAAATCGATACCCATAATCTCTTTCTCAATTGTTATGAACTAAAAATAACATATCACTTTGTCTCCATATTCATACCAAAAACCCACACTTTTGATAGCAATTTTTTTATGGTTGATAGAGCCATTTAAGCATACAATTCTTGGTGGGTTACTTTCGTTTGATGTTCTAGTGGTTGGAGAAGACTATGTGTGCAAACAAAGTCATCTCATTTAGTTTAAGGTATGAAATTGATTTTTTTTTTCCGGATCTGTTCGCGTAAAAGACTTACCCGTAAGTCATCTGGATGTAGAAGACTTACGGATAAGTCTTCTGGTCAAACGGACTACTTACTTCTAAGTCGTCCAGATTTGTTTGTTAAAAAAAAACACCAGACGACTTATAATTAAGTCGTCCAAGTTAAACGGGCTACTTTTGCATTTGGCCGAATTGTGTTAGATATTTGAATTTTTCTAGACGACTTACAATTAAGTCGTCTCTGGGAAAGTTAAAATTTTAATATTTTACTTAATCTAGACGACTTACGGATAAGTCGTCTTAGGTTAGTTTTACAATTCAAAAATAAAACTTAAATTTTTAACTTCTCTCAGACAACTTAACTGAAAGTCGTCCGATCAGACGACTTATGTTAAAGTCGTCCAGGATAAGCAAAGTCGTCCAGAATATTTTCCTAGTTTTCTGGTCAAACCTTGCTTATCCTGGACGACTTTAACATAAGTCGTCTGATCGGACGACTTTCAATTAAGTCGTCTGGGAGAAGTTTAAAATTTATGTTTTATTTTTGAATTGCAAAACTAACCTGAGACGACTTATCCGCCAGTCGTCTAGATTTAATAAAATATTGATATTTTAAATTTCCCAGAGACGACTTAATTGTAAATCGTCCAGAAAAAGTCAAATATCTGACACAATTCGGTCAAATGCAAAAGTAGCCCGGTTTATCTAGACGACTTAATTATAAGCCGTCTGGTGTTTTTTTTAACAAACAAAGCTGGACGACTTAGAATTAAGTCGTCCCATTGAAATTTCAATTGGAAAAATGACCTCATTGGACGACTTACTGGTATGTCGTCTGTGTCAATGTTTAGTAAACTTTCATGAAATTCTCTATGTTTACTAATGTGTTTTATTTGAATTTTTGCAGATGATTCCTCAGTTACATGCAGTGTATGAAGAATGGTTGTTGAAAGATTGCTGTTGGGATTTTGTGGTTGATGATCTCAAAGGAGAAAGATTGTTTTTATTGAATGAAGATTCAACACATGCTGAACTTGTTGCAATGGCACAAGAAGATTATAACCTGGACATGAGCACAGTCACTGTGGAGATTAGATACTCATTACCAACATAAATGATGATGGCTCCAGACACCCCTCCCATTCATGTTACAAGTGATAGACAAGTTCGTAACTTGCTCGAGATACTCAAAACTCATATAGTATGTCTTTGTGTATCAAGCCGTAGTAAGGTGGAAACGGTTTAAGAGGAAAAGGAAGAAGCTGATGAATGGTTTGAAGATGATGAAGCTGATGAATGTTTTGAAGATGAAGGTGATAATGAGTTGGTTGAAGATGAAAATCATGATGGGGAGGAGGATGATAAGGAGGAGGATGATAAGGAGGAGGATGCTGAAATCTTTGTTTACTCTAATGTTGCTGAAGCGGATGAGAATTGTGAGGATTATAGTGTTTATGGAAAGGTTAGAGATGAGGATGATGAGATTATAGTGGTTTTTAAAGATTACAAAGATACATATGCTATTGAAGGAGGACGATCGAATGGTAACAGTATCTATGTCAACCAGAGTTTTGTTAGCAAGGATGCACTGCTTTCAGAGCTGCGGTTGACAGCAGTGAGGTGTAAGTTCTCATTCAGAATATACAAGTCAACGAAAACTCTTCTTGTGGCAACATGTCGGGTTAGTGGTTGTGGATGGAAGATAAGAGCGAGTGTGAAACATGGGACAAACACGTTTTGGATAACAAAATATGTGGAAACACATACATGCTCAGTGGGAGACCAAATCGCTCAGCGGAGACATTGTACTCCGAAGTATGTTGGTAGGATTTTCATTGATCGTGTTGGAATCATTGATGGGTTGACTCCACAGCATATCAAAGATGCAATGAAGAACATCTTTGGCATGGAGCTTGATTACACCACTTCATACAGGACACTGTTATATGCACAAACATTGGTGAGAGGAACAGCAGAAGATGGGTATTCGCATCTGCCATCATATCTCGAGCAAATCTCCTTAGCAAATCCCGATTCTGTCACGGCTATAGAACTTGATTCTATGAAGTATCTATTTCTCTCTTTTGGAGCTTCTATTAAAGGTTTTAAGTATCAGAGAAGGGTCACTGTGGTGGATGGGACTCACCTAAGTGGGAAGTATGAGGGTACTATGTTGGTTGCAGCCGCACAAGATGGGAATTTTCAGATATTTCCATTGGCTTTTGGGATCGTAGATGCTGAAGATGACCCTTCTTGGGAATGGTTTTCACAAAATTGGCTACTTGTCTATCTGATGACCAGCCTCTGGTGATAGTCTCCGACCGGCATACGGCCATTAAAAGTGCGTGTGATAAGGTGTTTCCTTGGGCAGTGAGAGGAATATGTTATTATCATGTTCAAGATAACATTGTCAAAAAGTATAAAGAGAAACATCTCTTTTACTTGGTGAAAGGTGCTGCTATGCTCATATGGTTTCAGATTTTAACCGGTACATGGCTGAGATTAATAGTGCAAACCTGGACCTTGCAACGTATTTGGTGAATGCCGATGTCAGCCTATGGACAAGGGTTTATTGTCAGGGGGACATGTACAACATAAAAACAAGCAACATCGCTGAATCTATTAATTCTGCACTGAAGCGAGCTAGAGGATTTCAGATTAAGTTTCTGCTGGAGTTCATAAGGGAGAAACTAGGAAAGTGGTATTGGAAAAGGAGAGAAGATGCTTTGAGTCTCCCAACTCAACATAGTCGGGGTGTTGAATACTTGCTTGCTGTTCGAGAGGAGATAGCGGATACGATGAGGGCCCAACCAATTGATGGTTGGCGATTCTTTGTGAAATGTGGCAAAATGGACTGTGTGGTTGATTTGGAACATGGAAAGTGTGATTGTGGTGT